TAATTCTTATGTTTTGTTTATATTTCTTTGAAATATTTACTTGCTTTTAAAAACACGTGCTTAAAATTCGCACTGCTTTGTTAAGGAAAATAACTTTTCTTCACAAAGTTTTAAAGCAAAAAAGGAACTTGAAACGCTGTTTAAGATTAAAAGCCTTGTAAATCTTTGCACTTTTTGGAAAGCCAGTTTTTGTTTTTTTCGTTGCTTCAGATGCATTATTCCAGCGTTTGTTGTCAGGGGCGGATCCAGAAATTTTTCCTGGGGAGGGTCATAGACTCCGAATTAATTTTTTTTATAAAAACATTTTTTTTAATACATTTTTGGAAAAAAAAGTGGGGTTTTTAATGGTAGGAAAGATCGTTAGGCACTCCAAGTCCTGCTTATGAGTCTTGAAACAGTGAAGAGCATAATTAGATGGAAAAAAATCGATTTTTCCGACCTACATAGGTGTATATGCCCTCTTAAATAATTTTTGAAATATTTTAGTTCTTTTGTAAACTATTAAAAAAACTATTATTTTTATTTTATTTATTCAATTTGGGGGGGGGGGAGTCATGAACCCTATGAATCCCCCCCTCACTGTTTGTTGTAGATGTAGTTAAAAAAAGAAAAATCACATGTATATTTCTGATTCTAGTGCCGAATATTTCCGTAACAGTGCGTATCAACAATCATCGCAAGGGCTTCTTAACTTGCAAAATTTTAAAAAACAAGCATGTTGTGATTGTAGTTCGTGAATAATCCCGTGACTTAACGTTTCAAATGAAAACGAAAGTAAGCGTTTGAAAATATCGCATTAAACACGACTCTATTTTGGGTATTGGGGAACTCGTGTGTCCAAGAGGCCATCATCTGAAGTCGAAATAGATCAAAAAGTTTCTTGTTCGTCCACCCCAACCCATTTTCGGCACAAACATAAGAAATTGCAGTCATAAACTATTGTGGCGTAACTACCACTACAAATATTAAATACCAAATCACTAGTATATAAGACATGTTAACTTAATTCTATCATGAGGTACCTTTTGATAGATGAAGGTTGACAGTCTAAAATTAAATCCCATCACTATCTTAAAATGCTTTTTCTGCTCCCTTACTTTTTACCATTCTGTAATTTTGGGATTTACTTTATTTTTAAGGAAATCTTTTTCTTTTTTTCAATAAAGATACAAATGAACAATTCAAAAAGTTACCAACGAGTATTTGATTGTTTTCTTCTTCTTTTATTTTAAGGAATTTATAACAAAATATTGTTTATTGCCAATTAAGATTTGATAAGCTTTTCAGAGAATATTATTCAAGAAAGTGTTATTTTATAACATATTATTACTTTTTAATGGCAATGGTAATAATAAATAGGATTACCGGGGGGAAATATTCAAATTTAAGTTAAGAATATTCAATACTGGCTATAATATGGGTCATTCTCACTGAAACATAACATAATAGTTTAACATATATAGACTAAAAAAATTCCTAAATTAAAGTAATTAAAAAGGTGATAAAAATTATACAAATGCCTTTATTTATTTTTGTTATATGTCCTTATAATAATGGTCAAGTTTTCTATTTTATTTTTTACAAGATTTAAAATATTTTAAATTCTGCCTTGTCCACGGAGGAGATGTAATAGTCAACGGAGGAGACATTTTATGTTGTAAAATATAAAATGTCAATGAAGGCTAATTCATTAATTATTGGGCACAACTGATATGAGTTTAACATTAATAAGTAAATAATAAAATATTTCATTATTAGAGATAGAGCTACTTCCGATTAATCATGCTGCTATGAAAGGAAACATCCATTTTTAACCTAGGTGTA